TTTTTAAAAAGATTTTATTTATTTGACAGAGAGACAGACAGACAGATTACAAGCAGGGGGAGCAGCAGAGGGAGAAGCAGACTCCCCACCAAGCAGGGAGCCTGACTTGGGGGCTCCATCCCAGGACCCTGGGATCATGACCTGAGCCAAAGGCAGATTGCCTAGCTGACTGAGCCTCCCAGGGGCCCGACTGTTTTACTTTTGACTCTGATAAATATCAGTTCTAAACTTTTTTTAAAAAGTAAGTTAACCAGTAGAGAAAGAGAAAACCACAGTAGAATATAAAGATGATCATCAGGGGAAGAATAAAGAAAATAGTCGAAGAAAGCCAAACTCATGACAGCCACCAGAACCAGCAGAATGAACACCCAAGGAAACAAAGCAAACAGCAGGAGGGTTGGTTTTTTTTTTTTTTGCTTGCTTGTTTGTTTAAAGATTTATTTATTTTAATTTGGGAGAGAAAGAGTATGAGTGGGGAGAGGGGCAGGGGAGAGGGAGAGAGAGAGAGAATCTCAAGCAGCATGGAGCCCAACACAGCGCTCTATCCCGGGACCTGACATCATGACCTGAGCTGAAACCAAGAGTTGGATGCTTAACTGAGTCACCCAGGCACCCCAGCAGGAGGTTTTAAAATAAGTTCCACTGATTTCTAATAAAAGAATGGTGGACTGATAGCACAGGTTTACCTCCTTGCTCTCCCACAATCCCAGACAAAAGACAGTAAAAGGAAGTTTAAACAAGGATCATCTCAGAAAGATGGAGACAATTAGAGACTTCAAAAATGCCTGGGAAATAGTCTTTGAGACTCCAAGGGCCTCACGGAGCCCTCTCTCATGCTGAGCAGATCACAGAGGGAACCCAAGATGACCTGAGGTTTCCCTTCTGGAGAAATCAAGTACAGATCCAGGTCAAAGTACACAAAATCAATTCTGAGTAGCCAAATCACTGAATGACCAATTCACTAGATTTTCTTGTTCTCTTAACTACTTAGCCTTAGTTTACCTGTTTTTTATCATTTTCATAGTAGTACTTTAAGGCTTGATCAATTTGTCTCCACCCAGGACCCTGCTGATGGAGTTAAGAGCCCAAGGGATGGGGAGCTAGGAGATTGAAGGGCATGGATAAATGTGTGCTTTTCCCCAATTATACATTCTTATTTATGAGAATGCATTGAATATATTTACAATTCTTCATATCTGTGCATATTGTCAATAACATATCCACAAAAGAACACAGCTATAGCCTCCAATGCATTTATTAAAACAAAAAGAATGATGAATGAAGTTAGGGAATTCTTGTTTGCTTAGAGACGATATATGATGGTAAATTTTTTTTTTAATTTAAAATACATCCTCTATGTTTTATAGAGATATTCTAGAATATTTACAGAAAAAATGATATGGTAATCTGGGATTAACTTAAAAATATTACAGAAGGATGGCAGTAATAAAAAAAAGAAGAATGGCAGTGATGGCAGGTACAGATGAAATCAGATTGGCCAACTGAGTTGATAATTGTTGAAGCATTCAAGAAGCCAGAAACAGACAAAATAACACAGGAGAAAGAGATTAATAAAGATAAAAACAGAAAAAATAATTAAGTATAAAAAATAAATGCTAGGGGTGCCTGAGTGGCTCAGCTAGTTGAGTGTCTGACTCTTGTTTTGGCTCAGGTCATGATTTCAGGGTCATGGGATAGAGCCCTGCATAGGACTCTGCACAGCGCTGATTCTGCTTGAGTTTCTCTCCCTCTGCCCCTACCCTCACTCTTTCTCTTGTTCTCTCTCAACATAAATAAATATTAAAAAAAATAAACATGGGGTACCTGGGTGGTTCAGTTGGTTTAGCATCTGCCTTTGGCTCAGGTCATGATCCTACGGTCCTGGGATCAAGTCCCATGTCTGGCTCCCTGCTCAGTGGGGAGTCTGCTTCTCTCTCTCCCTCTGCCATTCCCCCTGCTTGTACTTACTTTCTCTCTCAAATAAATAAAATCTTAAAAAAAAAACCCAAACCCCACTAGAACAGTGGATGGCCAAAAAAGCCAAAAGTTAGATTTGAAAAAATTAGTACAACCGACAAATGTTCAGCAAAACAGATGGTAAAAAAAGAGATGCCATCACAAGAAGAGTCCCCCCCCCTTTTCCTGGCATTTGGCAGGACCCCATCTGATGCATGGCTTCCTGTCCATGCTCCCTAAGGTTAAGATCTGCAGTGGACATGACATTTCCTGCCCCCACCATGGGGAAACAATTTTGAGGAAACAGACTGGCATGCACTCCAGAAAAACAGCCCCAGGACAGCCACCTTCAGCAGCATTTTTCAATATGAATGCCAAATAAGAACTGCTAGACATTTGAGGCAAACTGAGGAAAACTTAGAGCACTTCTAATTACTCCTCTCTAAAAACAAGCTGAGGAATGAGAGGATGCAGAAACAGGGAGGAAGAAAGTGCTTTTGAAGATGAAAACAGAGGATCCCTGGGTAGCGCAGCGGTTTAGCGCCTGCCTTTGGCCCAGGGCGCGATCCTGGAGACCCGGGATCGAATCCCACATCGGGCTCCCGGTGCATGGAGCCTGCTTCTCCCTCTGCCTGTGTCTCTGCCTCTCTCTCTCTGTGTGTGTGTGTGACTATCATAAATAAATAAAAATTAAAAAAAAATTAAAAAAAAGAAGATGAAAACAATGTCTAAATATGTAATTCAATGGAAGAGCTTCAAGATATAATATAGTTGAGGAAATCTCCCAAGACACAGAGCAAAATGAAGAAGAAAACACGATAGAGGGACACCTGGGTGGCTCAGTGGTTTACTGTCTGTCTTCGGCTCAGGGCGTGGATCCCAGGGTCTGGGATCAAGTCCCACATCAGGCTCCTTGTGGGGAGTCTGCTTCCCCTCTGCCTGTGTCTCTCATGAATAAATAAATAAAATCTAAAAAAAAATTTTAAAAAAAGACTGTCCTTTAAAAAAAAAAGCATCTGAGGATTTAAGAAAGGCATGAGTCTTCAGATGTAAAATGTCTACTCCCTGCTAAGGGGAATGAAGGGGCGGGTCGGGATGAAAGTTCAGAACACAGGGATAGAAAGAAGAAAGTGATATCTTTGGAGAGGGAAATGGATTACTCAGAAAGAAATAAAAGTCAGACACCTGTCAGCAACATTGAATGCTACATAATAATAAAGCAATGTTCAGAGAACTGCCAACCTAGATTAAATAATAGGGCATGGGAACTTGGGATCTGTGGGGGAAAAAGGGGATTCTATGCAGTTGATTTGATAGAAGGCTGAATAAAACAACACTTAGTGTCCCTACTGACGAGGACTTGCTCAATCACTTTCCACAGGAAGGGTAAGCTGGTGCCACATTTCAGGAGGATAGTCTGGCAGGAGACCCCAGATTTGAAAGCCCATTGACCCTCTGACCCAGCAATCCACACTTGGAAATTCATCCTATACGTGTACAAAGGAGGAATGCAAAGTTACATCTTTCTAAATTACAGATTTTAAGATAATATAAAATGATATATTTTCACTCTAGAACTGTCTGTTATAGCAAAAACTGGAAAGCACCATAAATATCCGAGGGTTAAATGACCAGAGATACAGCTATACAACGGGATACTGAACGCTCCTTGCAAAGACCAAGGTGTTCTTTAGAGGCACTAATGTGGAGAGGTGCCCAGGACACGTTGTTAAATGCAAAAAGCAAATTGCCGAAGAACACAGAAAGCAACATCGCATTAGGGGGTGCATTAATGACCATTCTAAATATTCATCCATCTAAAGAAAAAATTCTGTAAGAATATAACTGACACTATCAGTAAGTTATTTGGAAGTGGCAGGAATTCCAGGAGACTCACTGCTTTAGACATTTCTTTATTGCTCAATTATCTTTTCTTTTTTTAAAATCTTGCTGGAATTTTTTAAAAAGACTTTATTTATTTGACAGAAAAAAAAAAGTATAAGCATAGTAGTATGCAGAGGGAGAAGGAGAAGCAGGCTCCCCACTGAGCAATGAGCCCGACATGGGGCTTGATCCCAGGATCCTGGGATCATGACCTGGGCCTAAGGCAGACACCTTACCGACTGAGCCACTTAAGTGCCCCAGTGTTGTTCAATTTCATTAAATATTTTGCAGTAGTCAGAATCAGAAAAATAAACCCGTAATTTGAAGTTCACTCCAGCTCCTAGGGAAACTTGTGAACAAGGTCTTCAAACATCTGTGGGCTCGAATCTCATCTCTCCCACTACTCTGTATGACCATGTGAGCTGTAAGCCTCAGTTCCCCCATCTGTAAAATGGGGAAGCCAGTGGACCCTGCCTCACAGTGAAATTAAGCAAGAAAGAAGGCAATGCAGAGAGCTGCACAGAACTGGGTTCTAAGGTGGGCCTGATGAATGTGACTGCCTTCCATTCCTGCCTAGGCTCCTTCTGGCTGGGCCTGTAAGGATGCGGGGGTGGCTGGAAGTCTAGCATCTAAGGCAGCACTCAGGGCATACCTGGGGTCCTGGTCAAAGGTAAACTGTGTTCCTTGACCATGGTGTACATCCCAATCCACGATAAGGACCCTGTGAGGATGACAGAGGTGGGGTACTATGTAAGAGGATCAAGGTGCATCTGGCAGAAGGGCCCAGACCAGGATACCCTACCCTGTGCCACCCCCACCACCTCCACCCCCCTGCTTGCTGCTGACCTCTCAATGTTATGCTTCTGTTGAGCGTAGCGGGCAGCCACGGCCACATGGTTGAACATGCAATACCCATCCATAAGGCTGTGCTGGGCGTGGTGTCCAGGAGGCCTGGGCAGGACAAGGAAGGCCACAGATTGGGGGTGGGGGTCCTCCTCTACAGAGGCAGACTCTCCCCTGTGTTCCAATTCTAGACCACCAACTCCTCTGGTTGCAAATCTGTCAGGAACTGAGTACCTGGGGCCCCCAGACCTTCACCCCATCTACTGCTCTCTACCCAAAGGAAATTGCATAATGTTCGTTAAAGTTATCAAAGTGTAATGCTCCCTCTGGCAGCACATATACTAAAATGTAGGCAGAGGGAGAGGGAGAGGATTAGCATGGCCACTGTGCAAGGGTGACGCAAAAATTTGTAAAGTGTTCCATGTTTTTTTCACTATATTGTACACCTGAAACTAATATAACACTGCATGTTAACTATACTGGAATTAAAAATTTTAAAATAAGTAAAATAAAAGTGATCCGTGCACACACCCTCACAGCCATTCTGTTCCCTGGGACTTAGCCCACAGCCCACAAAATATAAAGGGTGAAATAACAATGTTTCTAAATGGATAATGGTATTTGCTGTGACATGTTTTGGAAACAGCAAATGACTGGGGAGAACCAAAATGCCCATTTCTAGGGGGCTGGTTAACTTCCTGTGCATTTGCACGGTGGCATTCTACGCAGATCTAAGGCATGCACTGTTCGAGAAAAGCTTTCCAAGACATAGAAGTGAAAAATGCATGGTACGGAAGGGAGCATGTTGAGTGCTACCACCTTTTGTGGCTAAAAAAAGGGGGAGGAGAAAGGCTGTATCTTCTGCATTTCATCAATTTTGGGATGCCAACAATGTGAAGATGTACAGTGATTTCACATGCCAACAACAAAACAGAAAACACTGCTAAATGAATTCTAAGACGCCACTGTTTGCAAGATGAGTCTGGTTTTCAAGATGGTAAAATACAGATTTCAGCATTGATAAAATATGGCATTTACTCCACGAATAAACACAGAATGTTTCTTGGTGCACACATGAGTCATTGGTTACAATGGCTACCTCCAGGAGAGAAAGCAGGTCTCTGAGGGATGAGGGTAGGAGATATTATGGTATCCCCTCTTGTATCTTTTGACTCTTGAACCATATGAATATACCACCCATACCAATACATTTTACATTCGAGAGAAGGAATTTTTTAAAATATAAAAAGGCCAAATGCCGGTGGGTCCTACCTGACAATGGCCATGCCATTCCGGATCTCGTTCCTCAGGACTGCATCCACCAGCCTAAGGACAGAGCCTGAGGCCAGGCAGGCGCAAGTATAGGAGTTCTGAAGAGACAGTGGGGATCCAGACAGGGAGTAAGGAAGAGAGCAGCCCTGTCCACTCCACTACTCCTCCCCAGGATGTGGTGGGCATGGGGATGGGAAACCCTAGGATTGCCACCACCCTCTGCTCTTACAGTTCTTATCCATACCGGATGCAGATAAACTGAGTCATAGGTGTCAGCTAGGATGCGGAGCTCTCCCTCATTCATGTACTGGGTCGTCTCCATCAGATCAATGTATTCTAGGCTGGGGACACAGACAGGAGATGAGATTCAAGGATTTGCCTCCCTCCTGGGCCTGAGTCAGGGCTGTCCCTTCTGAGCCCTGGTCAAGACAGGCCCCCTCAACTGTCAATCTGAGGGATCAGCTGGGATACAGGACATGTTTCCTGATTCTTCCCCAGCCAGCCTCATTTCCAGTAATATCCCTTGCTCTCTGCTCTAGCCAGAATAAATCCTACCCCCAGGCCATTGGCCACACTGTTGTAGCTGTCTGTACCTCCCTTCCCTCAGCTTTCCTCTTCATCTGACTTGCTCTTTCTCAGCTCAGACAGCCCCTCTGCCAAGCTAGCTCTCCTTGAATCACATCACACCAGGGCCCTCACTCTGGGTTCCTGCAGCCCATGGAGGAACCTCCAATCACTCTCCACATGTCCATCCTCTGTTTACACACTAGGTTGTAATACCAACAGCCTATTGTGGGCTGATGACATGGCAGACACCACTCTAAGCACTCAACACATCTCGGAGCCTCCTGGGGAACTTCTGTTTACAAGTTCCCGTGTGATAGGCGAGGATGCTCAGATTCAGAGACTCAGCAACTTGCCCAAGGCCACAAGGCCTAGGACATTCCTTTCCAGAGAATGAGGCCTGCCCTGTTTGGCCCAGGGTGGCCTCCTCCCCACCGCTACAAGGCCCTGAAGCCTTCACCTGTGAACCAACATCAGCTCCTCCTTTTCAGCAAACCGAGCCTGGAGAGACACAAGGAATAAAGGGCTAAGGCATTGGCCGCACCCAGGCTCTGCCAGCTCCTGCCCACCACCCAGGGTGTCAGCTGAGGGACTCACCTGGAAGTACACACAGCGGTCCAGGAGGCCATCCTGGATCAGTTGTTCCTTGATGGCATGGAGCCGCTCAGGGCCCTCAGGAAAGCTGGGTTGACAAGACATACAGTTACACACACAGACTCTCTCTTCCCCCTCTAAAATGCAATCTTCCCGGAGGCAGGGGTTCTGTTTGTTTTGTCTACCACGGCATCCCTAGCTCCTCAGGAGATGGCAGACATGTATTCGAGAATGAAATCTTTTGCCATCATGAGTCTTCTGTTGGGAGAGGGGACATACACACATAAGTGTGATAAATGAGCAAACAATTATATAGACTAGGAAGGCCTCCAACAGCAGGTGTGGGGGAAGGGGAGCAGACAAAGACCTCTTGGAGCAAGTCTCCTTGAGATGGGAATGTTAACTGGGCAAGGAGAAGGTGGAAATGAGTTTCTGGAAGAGGGGGCCAGCCAGGGTAAAGACCCGAGCTGACAGAGTGCCTGGCGATGCTGGAGGAACAGCAGGGGGACCAGTGTGGGTGAAATGAAGCTGCGAGTGACTGGCTGATGAGGTCACTGAAGTGGTGTGGAGCCAGATCACGTGGTACGTTATAGGCCAGAATGAAGAATCTGGACTTTACCTTGAGGGCAATGGTATATACCCTTGAAGGATTCTAAAAAAGAGAACAGGACTCTAACTAATGTAATGCAGTATGTCAACTATACTTCAGTTAAAAAGTAATTAAAAAGAGAGAGACAACATCATCTCATACGTATTTTGGTTTTCTTTGGCTGCCATGTGGAGAACAGACAGCAGGGTGAGGGTGAAAGCAGGCAGCCAAGGAGAAGGCCTCGGCCAAGTCTAGGTAAGTAATGGTGGTGGTGGCAGTGGAGGTGGTAAGGAGAGGTCAGGTACTGAATACATTTCCAACACAGAGCCAAAAGAATTACAACATGTGTGAGCAAATGGGAGGTATAAATTCTTGCATTTCTGCATGAAATATCCTTTCTTCAAGGAAGCCTTCTGCGAACCCCGGAATGTTAGTCTAAGGTCCTCTATCAAACACTCTTGAATCCCCTGGTCTGGGGTTATCCTTTGTTAAATACTTCACACTGCTGTTGGCTGTTTAATGATTTGCTCTCCTACTCAACTAACAGCTCCTAGAGAAGGGGCCCTGTCTGTCTGGTCTGACATGTCTGTATCACCAACTCCTGGAACACAGTGCATACTCAGGAGGTGTTGGCCAAATGAAAAGAATCTTTTCAAGCCTAAGCCTCCCCACTTGAAATCATCTGCTGCCAGTCTCCAGGCTAGCATAAGAATGGCTTCGTTCTTGCTAATGGGCTCTAAGGGCATTTATTTTTGTGGTTAGGGTACCGTCTGGAGGAGCCAGCCTCACCTGTCATCCCAGAGGCAGTGGAATTCATTTAGTTGCTCATCAAACACCAAGCCAGTGCCACAAAGTGTCTTGGCCTCAAGGTTCAGATCCTGCAGGGAGAAAAAAGGGGAGAAACCGATCCACTTTGGGCCCGAGTCAGAAGGAACACACACTGTCCAGGAGGGAGAACCACAGGATTCTGATTATCACAGGAAGCTAAATCCATTGAGCCCAGGCCACTCTCACCAGCCCTTGCAGGCCCACGATTAGGTCTTGCTCTGCTGCTTGGCTGAGCTTCTTCATTCTGCCTTTCTTCTTTACCTCTGCTAGACTAGGGCTGGAGTGGCGTAAGGCACCCTTCTTAACACCTCGCTTCTGCCAAACAGAGAGAAGGGTCAGATTCCAGGGCAAGGCCTACTGCTCCTCCCCCCCATCAGGCAGGTTTGGGGCCTCACCGAGGTGACGCTGGAGTCGTGGGGGGGCGAATGGGGGTTATGCCTACTCCTTCGCTGCCTGGTTGTGGTGGAATCCTGGCCGGTGGAGGTCATGGTCGGGGAGACTTCACCCCTGACGCGGCTCTGGGGGGTGGGGCGGCGGTGACTACGAACAGGCTGGAGTGCCCTGAGGGCCTCCCAGACCCCGCCCCCTATACAGTCTCCATCCCTTCTGGTATCCTACTCCCCACCGCCTTCTAAACTCCACCCCTTTCAAGGCCTTCTCCTTCCACTGGGGTGTCCATTCCACCTGGTCCCGCCCATCCCAGTAGGCTCCACCCCCTTAACACTATTCTTTCCCCTTTAAAAGTCTTGCCCTTTCGCGGAGCAATAAGCCCCCAGGCTCAGTCCGTCCTAGCGCCGGCCCTTTCCAGCTAATCACCGCCCTTTCCGCTCCCCCAAATCACATTCCCAGACTCTTTCATTCCTCCAAGCCTCGCCAAGACCCCACCCCTTCACAAATCTGCCCCCTCCAGCTAATCTCCCAGAATAATCACCCACCCTTTCACTCAGCCAGACCCAGACCCCGCTCCGGCCCCGACTCCACCCTTAACGATCCACTTAGCTCCACCCCTTATCAGGCTGGACCGACACCTTCCACTTGGCCAGATCCCGCCCCTAACGTTTCAACGAGCCTCGCTCCTCGGGGAACTGCCCCTTTCCTTCCACCAGATCCCACCCCCTGCTCAAACCCTACCCTCAAGCTCCACCAAATCCCTTCAGCCAGTTTCAGGCCGCCTCCCACCAGTCCCCTCCCCCTTCCCGACCCCACAGCCGTCGCCGACCAATCCCTTCGGCTCCACTCACTGAGCGCAGCCCTTTTTTCAAACTCCGCCCAGGGCTCCCGCCGCCAAATTCCTGGCGACCTGCGGGACGGCGGGTGCTTGAGGCCCTCTTTTCCATTGGGCCGGTCTCTCTAACTGCCCGCCCCGATCCGCCTACACTGTGCGTCGGTGCTCAGGGCCGCGCCCTTTAGGCGGGCCATACTTCCCGCGAGCTCACAAACGCCGTGGGTGCGTCAGCGCGCAACGCTGGCTGTGCTGCGCCTGCGTGAAGCGTGCGCCGGCGGTTCGAGGTGGCGCTCAGGCTCTAGCCCGCCCCTCCCCCAACCACCGCCGCTGCCGTCCTGGCTCCCGTGGCCGCTGTCT